ATTAAGGTTGGTAAGCTGTAGCTTTGAAGTAATGATAGGGACGCGAGAGAAGTTTCACTAGTTAGGAAACTTCTGGTATGAGATTTAGTACATCAGCTCCATCTCACAGAGGTTTATGCAACACCGCCCACCAGCCTTGCAGTTTGTGATTTAGATGACTGGGAAACTGTGACAATATATACTTGAATGTCAGCGTTTATGTTTAGTGTGGCTAGTTAGACACAGATGTGTATGTGTTAGGCTGTTACGCTTACATTCAACTTTGTTGATACGTTTATGCATTTATGGTAATGTAGTAAAGCATATTTTCTAGATTACTTAGGTTACTTGGAGATGAGCACAGTTCTTTTATGAATCCATAGGGACTTTACCTTTCTGCTGTAATCCAATAAACTTGTTTTATCTCAAAGAAATATTTGAAATATGTTTTTGAGTTTTATAATTATGAATTTGTTTTTTTTTAATGTTTGTAGACTGAACAACTTGTAGACAAAGGGAGCATATTGTGTTTGTATCTGTAATTTCAGTATCACCAGATAGGGACTGTCAAAGTTCTGTCAACTCAGTTCTTGTAAAACAGGAGAAAATTATAGTGGTCAGACTTATAAAGACTACATAATATTTCAGTCCAAAAGTGACAAAGTGCTAGAATATGAATTGATCAGTTTATAAACAACTGGGTAAAAAGTAAATGTGAGGCACTGACATTATGCTTCTCTTCTGTGAGCTACTTAGGAGCAGACTGTATCTTTGGAAATCAATGTAGAATCAAGAAATGAGCTACAATGTGTATTCCATAGTGATGGGGATTTTTTGCCTTTTTTGCTTTTTTAAAAAATTCCGCAGAGATAGATCTAAGCAACAGGACAGTTTCTAAAGACTTGTCAGCATTATGTACAGGACTATATATATTGGTAAAAACATGGTGAATTGGAGTGTGATCTGTCAGCACACCAGTTCTCAATTTAAAAACACATGTTCCAAAGGCACTTAGTTAATTGTAATTTGGAGAACATTTTCCCTGTAGAAAGAATGGTGGCAATCGTTCTTCTGATTTAGATACAATTGAATACAATTTTTTGCTGCATTTATGGATAGTAAGTTAGTGATTTCTAGCATATTTCAAAGTATATTTTTTAAAATCACAATAAAAATATAGAGTCAAATATATGTAGTCTCTTAACCTTTTGTTTTTGCTGGTAAAATGTCTAAATAGACATTTAGATTTTCTATCATTGATTTTTTTTTAATTATTACAAAAGTTTATTTTTTTTTAATTACAAAACTATCATTGATTATTTATAGGGGCACTTTACCCATTAATCTCATACTTAGCAAATGCTAAATATGTTGAGCACTGATCTTGGAAACCATCTGAACAACTCCCAGAGGTTTAAAGACAAATTTACCTCAATTATCCATTTGGATATTCATTTGGATCATAATGTCCATTACAGTTCATCTGACACATGTTTTAGCTCCTTATTTTTAATGTTTTTGAAAGTTTATTGCATCTAGCTCATTTCATTCTCATTGTGCTATTTAAATGTTCTTAATATGTATATACTTGTGAAGAGGCTTAAAAGACAGAAATTGAACTGATAGTCGTAGCTTTCGATTCTCAGGTAACACAAGACACTTTGCTGTGTTCTCTGAATGTCACACAAAGCAACACCCCTAAGAGGCTAGAATTGCTACTCTGTTTTATATGAAGAAAGGGAAGCCAGGTGGAAGGCCTTGCCTGAGTTGCAAAGTGAGGTGCTCAGCTGAGATTTACACCCAGACGGATCTGTGTCCAGTGCTCAGGAACTTTATACAAGGCACACTGTTGGGTGAAAGGAGGAATTCGCAGGCCCTTCCTGGTGGCACAACAGGTTAAAACCCAGCACTGCGAGCGAGCAGCAGCTGCTTCAGTGCAAGTTCGATCCCCACCCCAGAGGTGACCCACAGAGCACAGCGGACCTCTCCTGACCAGCCCTCCGCTCCCCTCAGCCGTGTACTTTGTCGACCTGCCTATTCTGCTCCCCATTCTGTCTCTGGTGAATCCTCTCACCACTCCTGCACCTCTAGCCTATACCCCAGTTCCCTATGCATAAATAAATATTTAAAAAAAAATAAAAGAAAGAAAAGTTCACTATTTCCAAATGTGTGTTTGGAGAAGTAAAGTTTGGATTGCAAATATTATAGACGTTTGTTTTTGAGATTCACAGAGCAATGGGCTCTCTTTAAGATGAAGACAGCAGAGGAGATATATTGATAGCCGCAGAATATAAACTGCTCACACTTTAACATTAACCTGGAGCCTCAGGAGCCCTCCATAAGGCTGGTTTCCAGATCCCGGTTCCTCCCAATTCTGTTTTATGCTAAATTTGTTAAAATGAAGAACGAGTCATGACACAAGCTATGCGACAGCTATCGTCTGACAGATTCCGGGTAGCTCGGGAAAAGCTCTGAAAGATCAGACTTTCCATGCTAACTTGTGTTATGACCTCCATTTTTTGTATAATCGTAATATCAAAATATTCTGAGCAACTTTCAGCCTACAATTGGATTGCCTCAGCTGCATTAGGCCTGCCTGTCCTGACAAGCAAGCACTGCACCAGGGTGAGAAATTCTTCTGAAGTCAAAAGTGACTTAACAATTGGCTGATCAATAAAAGCAAAAGGGCTGTTTCTACAAAGTCTCTCACTGCTGGATGGAGGAAAAACCAAATCTTATTCTACTATCTCACCTAGCCTCCTATTCAGCTTCTAGGGAATTACTCAAACTTCCTACTGTCTGGCTTTAGATATGGAAATTCATCCAGGATGCCTGTTTTAGAGCTAGTCAAGTTTTTTACCTGCTACACTTCAAAGCAATCCACAAAAGTCTTTCTGGCTAGTCTTTCAGGATTCTACTATCTAGTCTTTAGATAAGCAAATTCACCCATGTCTCCTATTTAGAGCAAATTACACTTTCTACTGTCTGGACCTCAAGGAAACTTACTTAAAACCTTTTAGCAAGTTTCTTCAAAGTAGGAAACTTACTTAAAACCTTTTAGCGAGTTTCTTGATTAGCAAGAAATTTCCTCTTCCTGAGACCCCAGACCATTTTCTTAGAAAAAAGGTGATTGTGATCTTAACCCCTTTCGTATGCTAATGCCATCCCCCTGCCTGCTGGAAATGTATAAAATAAACCTCTGCGGAAGGCAGAGCGGGAAGATTTGCACCCAACTCCGACTCCCCCTCTTGGAATCTCCGCACGCCGACGCCTTCCCATCTTAGGGTCCTGCCTGTGTTGCCTCCAGACACCTCAAAAGTTGAAGCTGGTCTCCGACAGAGTCATAGACCAACCTGGGAAGAAGACTTAAGGCAGAACATGTTTACATGGCAAACCTGGACATCACAAATAGAGAACCAAGCCTCCTTGGCCAGTGAAAATCTCTCAACCGCAGCATGCCCGACCTGGGGAGAGAGCAGCAGGCCAGAGTAGGGGAGAGGCGCGTGGCGAGTGGTGTGGCGGGATAAATGTGGGACATTAGGGAAGCTTCTCTCCACCCACTGCATCCTAAAAGGATGTCTCAGAGGCAGTTACACTTGTCGAGAATTTGAAGGATGGAGAGGAATTAGCCAGACCGAGGAGAGGAGCTGATTATTAAAGAAAAAGCAAACAAACGCAGCAACACTGAGGAAACTGAAGAGCGGCCGGGCCTAGTGAGTTTTAGGTGCCTTTCAAACGAGCCCCGAGTTTGTTTCAACACCACGCAAGTGTTCTGAACAGGGAATCTAGTGCCCCGGTGATTCCAACTTTGGGTAGTGTGTGGCCTTGTGCTATTCTGAGATCCCCCACCCACTCGGTCGTTGGGGTCTTCCATGTCTTTCTCCAGGGAGCCTGTCGAGGTTTCCTGTACTCATGAGTCGGCAGCATCCTCTGACATCATGTAGTTGATTCATGTTTTCACTCAATTATAATAGTTTATGTGTGCTAACAGCAGGGAAACTTGCTTTTGAGGTGCGAAATTTCAGCCAACGAGAGGAAACACAGTTACTCAGGTGTGCTGAAGTGCTACAGAGTCAGTACTGGTTAAGCACAGAGGAAGGCTTATTCCTTTTTGTTGAAGATTAGCTCAAGCTGGGCCCAAGCTGGGCCCTCCCTGGTGGCGCAGCAGGTTAAAGCATAGCACGATGTAACAATCTGAAGCCACTGCAGCATGAGTTCAAACCTCGGCCAGACCTCCCCTGACCTGACCTGCCTGCTGCTCCCCTCAGCAGTGTACTCCATCTGCCTGTTCTGCTCCCCACTCTGTCTCTGGTGAATCCTCACCCCCTGCATTTCTGGCCTGTACCCCAGTTCTTGTATGCATAAATAAATAAATAAACCTTCACAAAAAAGATTAAAGTTATAATTAGATCTCAAAACCCCTAGAAGACAGTTCACTCGGTAAAGGAAGACAGGATATTTTAGATTAGGACTGTGCTGGGTAAATAGAACAACTCACAACATTTCTACCTGTCTTTCCGTCTGCGTTCTTGAAACAAACAGATGATCTAAATGAGTGAAGCAGTGCCACGGGTTTTCTTGACTGTCTGTCATGGAATATAACAGCCTAACCGACGGCTCTTGGTATGTGGCCTCGGACCAGCAACACCACTTCCTAGAAGCTTGGTGCACAGGACTGTTGGCCTGAGATAACGTGGGGAATTGGAAAGTTTCTGGGTTTTGAGAATAGAGGCCTGGATTTAAATCTCATGAGTCCCTTTTACTCCATGACTAACGTCTATGAGCTCTTATCTATCTAGGGGACAAAGGTAAGAATGCTGCTTTTCTAAGGTTTCTGGGAAACTTGGCAGACAGAGCTTAAATAAAGTGCCTACCGTCCTTGTGTGAAGGATGTGTGAAGTCTACACATTGTAGACTTCAAATTAATGGGGGCTGCTGGTATTGGTGTTCTCCCTTTAGATATTCTCCCCAGTAAGTGTTTTCAGTTACTGAGTGAAAACAGCCCCCATTTTTGCTTTTAGATCCAAATGCTCAAGAAGTAAAAGATGTCTACGGACTCCGTGGTCAAGTAGAACATAAACTGGCTTTCCTGAGGACTCATGTGCCCAAGGACATGAAACTTGTGGTCATTGGTCATTCAATAGGCTGCGATATGACCTTGAAGATTTTGAAGCTGGCCCCTGAACTTCCAGTGAGTATGCCTCGGGTGACGGCAGGCCCTGCTTGCACTGCACAAATCCTCCACAGCTTTCCTTTCCTCTTGTTTAACTGGTCAGTAGACACAGAGGGTATAGTTGACGGCTGCCTTTATCCTTCTCTCCGTTTGACTGTGGTCTCTGTGTGTGTTCGTGAAATTCCCATAATATGTCAAAGAACAATGCTGAGGGAGATAAGAATGCCTTTTAATTGAAGGTTTTCTGACTTACTGATGTTGCCTTTGTTACTTACATAGATGTAGCCTTTATAAAGGAATACTTCAGGGCCCTCACCAACTAAGACCTAGACAAGCAGCCGTCTTTATTGAGAGACTGTTTTGCAAATATTATTGCCTTCTTTGAAAAGGAAGATTTATTGCCCTCATCATCAGTGATAGACAAAACAAAAACAAAAACAGTCGCTGTAGAACACTGTATCTTTCCTAAGTCTTAAGTCTCCGTCCTTATCTGTTTTTCTATGGCTGAACAATCTTTCTGCAGCACTCAGTGATTCACAAGGATTTACTGGGTGCCACTGAGTGTTGTGTGGTAGGTGAGCTCCTGAAGAAGCAGAGACTTACTCAAGGCACCCAGGAAAGCTGGTGAGCCTCACCAAAGCCTTACACTGTCGCTCACATACACCGTCAAAAATGATCCGTTGACTGGATGTGACTCACCATATAATTTGTTTCTTTTCCCAACAAACATATGGTAAACACTTGCCGTGTGTCAAGCCCTGTGCTGTGCTTTTTATTTTATTCCAGTGGATAAAATAATCTTTGAGGTAAGACACCCTGAGGTCTCCAGAGGAGACAGCAACCCACAGGTGTGGTAACTACTGTCTTAGGTAACCCCAGGGTATGGGGGGAGATGAGGGAGTGCTGGGTAGCCTGATCTTCTGAATGTGGCATCAGAGGATTCCTCCATGGAATCTCTCTGTTCTAGCATTTGGACTTTCCTCACTCTGTGTGATCAAGTATCTCTGCTGGAGTCTTGGAGCTTACTAGGAATTTGCTCATTTCCCTACCAGCTTGTCACATGCATTTCTTACTCATAATTGCCCTTGGAAAAAGTACAGCTATATCCTCCCTGGGTGTGGTTTTAATACCAAGTGGAGGTTGTTAATTTCCTCCTATTGAATATAAGAAAATACATTTTTCATTTCTAAGTGAGAATAAATTCAAGATGACATTCCATGCACTATATTATTGCTTCTTCTCTCTCCCCTACCCCTAGATAAAACATCTTAATCCAAGAGTACATCTTTTTTTTGTCTTTTTGGTTTTTTTTTTTTTTTTTTTTTTTTTTTTTTTTTTTTTTTTTTTTTTTTTTTTTTTTTTTTTTTTTTTTTTTTAGTATTTTGTATAGCTTCTGATCTCTTTTATGCCCCTAAATCTCCTCTGGTTCTTACTGTTTTAAGATCACAATCTGCAGCATCCAGCTCTGCCTCTTAAGGATTCTGTCTGCAAGGCTGCAGTGAACCCTGGTTCTGGTTGAAATACTTGCTCTTACTTTGCCTGTGTGACTTGGACAAGTTACTGAGCCTGTACTTCAGTTTCCTCATCTGCAAATAGGGGATAGTGATATATTTGGGAAAGACTTTTGTGAGGAATTATATAAAGAATTCAGAGTGGTGCAGAGAACTTAAAAGTTCCATGCAAGTGTTAGCTGTAATAGAAAATAATAGAATCACTGGCTCAGCTATTAGTTACCTACGCTATCGTCTACTGCTGTGTAACACATCACCCCAAAACTTAACCATGCACAGCACTACATATTCTCTACACTTACTGCGGGTTTGGAATCTGGCTGTGATTTTTCTGGTCCTCTGCTTCAGGGTCTTGCTTCATTCCAGGCCATGGGGCAGAGGCCACCCTCAGTTGCTGTCTCAGTGCCTAGTCAGAGCAAGTGTTGGAGAAGAGTCAGAAAGGGTCTGGAGAAAAGACTTTGGTTTCTTAGCAGCAATCACTAGTTCCAGGCCACACTCACGGGGAGTGAATTACAGTGGAGCGTGAACAGTCGCAGGCGAAGGTCACGGGGTCCACGTCAGAAACGGCCTGTGTCAGCCCTACTGCAGTCAGGATCACGTTCAGGTCGTGTTCCTTCATGTATACATGTAAATAACTAGCTTAAACACCGAATTACATCCTGATGTGGGAAATGACAGCTCTGTCAAAAAAAATATAGGAAACTGATATGAAGACAATTTCTGGCCTTCAGTTGTTTCAGGTGTTTTAAAAACATTCAAAAAAAAAAAGTACTCGCCTATTGGAAATAATAATAGCATTATTGTTTGTGATGGTTGATTTTGTGTGTCAACTTGAGTGGGCTAAGCCATACCCACGTAGCTGGTGAAACACTCCTGAGTGTGTCTCTGAGGGTGGTTTCAGAGATGAGCATTGGAATTAGCAGTTAGTGTGAAAAAGATCTCCCCTCACCAAAGTGGTGGACACAGAAAGCAAAAATATGGAGGCAGGGCAAATCCTTTCCCACTGCTTGAACTGGGTCACCCATCAACCCTGTTCTCCGGCCCTAGGACTCCCGATTTGCAGGCCTTCAGATGCTGGGCTAACCCCGGCAGCATCCCAGTTTAGACCTTGAGCCCAGACTAGGCCTGACACCATCAGTTTGCTGGTTCTCAGGACTTCAAACTAAGTTAAAGCACTGCTCTCCTGGTCGTCCAGCTGGCATTCGGCATAGTGTGGAGCGTTTTGGCCTCTGTAATCTTGTCAGCCGATTCCTGTAAGAATCTGCCTGAGTGTCAAGCTATAGACACATACATATGTGCGTGTGCGTCAGTTTCTGTGTAGCAGTCACGTACCCTGTTCTGTAAACAGAGGGAAGAAAATACTCACCGTGAGCCCCTCACAACTCAGTAACAATCACATGTTGGTCCTCTGCGTTTTTGTTTGCTCACGTCCACTCTGTGCGTAACGTCTCATGTCTCTGTGCGTAGTTGAAGGCAGTTGTCTACCACATTGGCTCTGAACCCGTCTCACTCTTTGGTTTGTGTGCACAGTGTCCATTGGGAAGGAGGACAAGGCATCAGGTTGTGGAACTTCCTCCAGTTCTTCAGCCTCAGACCCTCTGATCATCACTCTGCTTGCAGGTGACCTTTGCCCTTGCAGGAACTCTGGTGAAGAGAGGGGGAAAGATGAAGTACAAGCTTAACCTCATCTGTTTGTGGTGACAAAACACATACTGTATGATAAAGTTTTCAGAGAAGCATGTGAAACTGCTTTTTCTGAAAAGGGGTGTATTCTAGAAAATAATGTAGACGATAAATTGTCCGTAAAGGTCAGCCAGGGAGAAGGGTGAACATCTGTATGTTTTTTTTTTTTTTTTTATCATCCAAAGGCTTTATCTGGTTTCAATTAATGACATCGTTGAAGCCTCCTTCCCCCCTCCCCACTTTAAACACCTGGCCCAGTTAATATTGGTGGTGTGATCCTCGCTGAAGTGTTGAAATTTCGGTGTCTCTGGGCTACCTAAGGCTTCAGTCTGCATGCCTGAAGTCAGCATGACACGCTCCATTTAAGATGCATTTGACAATCAAATAAGTTTGTGTATGCCAGAGTGTTGCAATCCCTAATCATTGTGCCAAAAATAAGTTAGCTGTTATGTTTTATAACATATGAAGTGTGATAATCAGAAACTTGTGTTTCCATCTCTTCTGTTATTTTTACTGGAATATTTGACTCCCATTAGATTTTGAGGACATATGTGTAGTTTAGTAGCTGGTTTGTTTGGTTTTATTTTGGTTCAATTCTTTACAATATTTTTGTAACTGATTATAGGAAACTTTGTTCTTAAGATGATTTTGAGAGACCTTTGTTTTAGACATATTATCTGGCCTACATTTAATATTCTGAAAAAATTAATATGGTTCCTTTAAAAATCTGGCTTTAAAAACTTTTGTTGTGTGAGCAAATTTGTACATAGAATTACACAAATCCTTCATAGATTTTGACAGTAATGTTCGCATAAAGAATTTAAAAGGAAACCTGCGAACACAGGTGATTGTTGACTGTCACGAATTGTAATAATCCGCATAATTTTAAACTCCTAGGATCTTAGAACTGAAGTGGGCAAGAAAACAACCTAGTCCCATCTTTCATTTTCCAGGTGAGAACTGTGGGTGAAGTGCCTTGGCAGGATTCAGCCCCAGCTGTCTGAACCCAGGGTGGGGCCCTCGACAGTAGCCAGGGTGGCGAGCGGGCCTCAGATACCCGGTGTCCCTCCCATCCGCCCTGTGATGGTCACAGAGCCTTGGTGCTCTGCTGAGCAGATGCAACTCATCATGCCACAGCCCAAGGAGCAGGAGGCGGGCACACCACAAACACTGTTTGAGCAATTCCAGGCAGGGGCACAACGGAAAATTATAGTCTTATCCCCATTATCTAGAATCTTCTTTCTCTCATCATCAGTCTTGTGTGTCTACCACGCGATTTTGCAAGTGGTTTGCAGAAAGCTCAAGGTTGTTGAAAGTTCTTGATTCTTGCCCGAGCTCTGTCTGCCTGAGACAAGAGGTGAAACCCAAGTAATTTAGCTTTTATTTTCCTCTAGGAATTTATATGGTATTTAATTCTAACATTCCCTCCCCTTCCAGAGATATCAGATCCTTCAAAACCTTAATTTTTTTTATTTTATTTGACCTTCCTTGAGGAAAATACACAGTAACATAGAGCTTCCTTTGTCTCTCTGGTTGGCAAAAATATCTTCTCTAAATGAAATTTCCAGATTACTTAGACTTACTGTTTTAAGCACCAGGCTGTTTTATCCAGTTGGATAAAAATGGTTGAAAATGCATCACTGAATTTGTCCTCCTTCAATAATGCATTTTGATAATGGAGGAATTCTTTCTTATGGATTCAAGCACATCCTTGGCTATGCCATGTGCTACAGTAAAGCAAAATCAGAGGGGGGTTGCGTATGTCCTGATACCTCTCAGATGATAGTGGTTTTTATTTTGCAAATACTCAGACCACTTGCAAAA